GGTCAACCTCCCCATGAAAAATAATTATGGCCTAGATTTAAATTGGCTTATCATCATTAATAATCAAAATGAGAAAAGACAACTTAAAAAGCAAACAATAAATGAAATAATAACAAGTTAATAGAAAATTGACTACCTTTACAATGAATTTTTCCACATATTGTTGATCATAAACAGAAAATGTTATTATTGCTTTAACAAATCATGTGTAGTGATTTATATTTTGTTTACTTTTTATAGATGTAAAATTTACTTAATTTATTTGAGATAATCAATTAAATATCTTCTGAATAGATTATAACAATAAGGTTAATTATAATTTATTTATATTTTTATTGTTATATATTATTATGTATTTTTAACATAAAAAGGATTATCCTCTAAGAAATAAAGGTAATTTGTATTTTTTCAATACAATTAATTATATATCTTGATTAAAATAAAAAACAAAATAAACAAACATGATATTGCTATTTAATACTTTCCTCATGTGTAAATTCCTTTGTTCTCACCTTCATCACAATGATTATTCAATACATTTGATGTTATCATTGACATAACAAAAAATTGCATCACCTAAGTAATAAATAATACCAAGGCAATGCAGAAATGAAACTTTTAATAATGCATGCCTACCCAGATCCCTGGGAGTTGCAAGAATAAACAAATAGGAGAATCAAAAAAATTTATCTTTCTTTCCCATTATATATTTGCTTGAAATGAATAATAAATCTGATATCGATCACAGGTGTCAGATTTAATAAATTTTTCCTATTGTAAACAAATGGTTAGGTGCTTTCACACGCCTTCATAATTGTGTAACTTTTTGCACAAATGAAGGCACCCATAAGTTTTAGACTTTGGACAAGTGAGGCGACAAAAAAGCTTTCCTTATATTAAACCAGGCTTGGCTGTTACCATATAACATTGACACTCATGTGATGTTATCTCCACTAGAATAAAGTTGGTGTCTGAAACCTAGGTTGCTGTTTTGTTGGTTGTAGAACCAGCTATCTTTACACTAGATGTAGGATTATTCAGTATCCATGTAATGCCAGCTCAGGTTCTACAAGGTAGGATTCGCAGAAGTGTGTCCTTGATAACAATACCATTGTCAATAAATTCCAGGGCCATGCGGCCCCCCCCTGGAATTTAATTGCAATGTTGTATCATCGGGGGATGCGAGTCAGATTAGCCTTGTGTACGCAAGGAACGTGTGAGAATGACTGTATAGTGCTCAAGGTAACATATGCGTTTTGACATCTGTAAAGTTTCCAATAATCAAATGCTGCATATCGAATTGTTTTCTCTTTAACATTCAGTTATGTTGCCTTGACATTTTCTTATGATTGTTTATTTAATAGTATTAATAAAGATTATATGAAAAGCAAAAACGATACCAATCATCTATTTTACCAAAAGAATCTTGTAATAAATACCTTCACGTTATGTTTTCAACAATACTTATAAAAAAATAAAAAACAAATATCAATACACAAAAAATAATACCTCTCACAATCAATGAAAACGCACCTTTCTTTAGAACCAACCAAGACGACAAACATGTAAAAAAAAATAAATTGTTTTTCCAAAAAATGAATTGCAATAGGGGTTTGTTGTACAACCCATACGCGTATTATAATAAATTTGTATGCATGTCGATCAATCAAATAAAAAAAAATTATCTTTTCAAAATGTCTTCATTAGTGGAGAAACAAAAAAAGAGGAGAAAACATCAAGATGAACGTGAAGAATCTCAGTTCGGGTAAGTGCTATTATTTTAACGTTAAGTATGGATAAAAAGTCAGTGTTCATTTTTTAAATGAAAAGTCTAGTTAATATATATATATTGACGCGCATTTACTCCTTTATTTTGCCAACTGATTTTTATTTTTTTTTTAAAAAAAAAGATGCTCAAGCAAGCAAGCTTCCCAGGAAAAAAATGAGCAGGAGGAATATTACAAGTAAACGTTTTTCTTTTTTAAAGGTGGTGGCGGTTGTGTGCACTGTTGCTTGTTGATTACCTTCAATTTTTGTATTTACTTATTTTTTAGGAGTCGTGTTGATCCCGTTGACAATGATGATGACAAAGATGAAGTATGAAAATGACTTTTTCATTAATTAACAACAATTTTCGATATTCTCACTAAATTTCTCTTAAAATTTTCTTCTAGAGTCCATTAGTGATAAACTTTAGTGAAGTGCTAGACGAGGATCCATCTTTTGGTTCCGATATTAATAATGTACGTATTTTACTTATTTAATTATTTACACCAATAATAACAATAATAAAAACTATATAATATTATAATCAAAACAGGATTTAAAGATGATATATCCGGACCTTATTAAAATTTATAAAAAATCATCTGATTGGTAATGTTTTGGCATTACAATTATGTTACGTAACATAAAATATTACTAATGTTACTATTGTTTTATTATATTAATAATAGTGATTTAATCCGTATGGCAATAATTGATTTGGAAGATGATAAAAAAAATGAAACAATTCCATTTAAAAAAATTTCAAAAATGTTCAAAAAAAATATTATGAAATTTAATGAGATAAAATTAAATGATGGTGAGAAAATGTTGGATGCCATCAAAGGCATAGAAAAAATTGAAGATGCTATAGATTTTGTAACAAACTTCAGCTCAATGAGTAATTTAAAGTTAGATTATCAATCAACAATCAATGATTTTATATATTCCATTGTCAAAACTTTGTATGTCTAAAATTTTTATTATTTATTTTAGTAAAACATAAATGATCATTAATATAATTTTTTCTATTTAGTGCTGGCTATTTTGTTTTAAATGAAAATTATTTTAAAGAAATATTACCTGAATACCATCTAGGAGCAACAATACATGTTCAAATTTTTATGAATTTGTTTAGGGATAAAAACTATATAGTATGATACAATGAGTAAGCACTAGTTTCCAAATTTTAGATCTTATTTACAGTGTGTAATGAAAAAAATTGACCTCCGATGATGCAAAATTCAAAAGCATACAGTTTCACGAATAAGCAACAAAATCCCATCCAATTAAATCAAACAATCATACTAAACCCCTGTGTTGTAAAAACAAACTTTTTGAACCATCAATCTTAGTTTTGTCAACATAAAAAAATGTCATCAAACAAGCTCGATTTGCAACGTTCAACACTTCTTTATTATTGGAACCAAGGAATACATTCTCCAAAGGAACTTCACACAAAAACTAATATTCCCCTATCAACAGTCAAATATAATATTAAAAAAATAAAAGAAACCAGAGATGTTTCACATAAGGGAGGTAATGGCCGTATAAAAAAGATAGGATCAGCAATGACGCATGAGCTTGAGCAATACATTTGCAATGACAGTTCCACATCTTTGCAAACCCTGGCAATAAATTATCCAATAATGAAATTTCTGTATTGCATATGGCTGTAGCGAGAAGATTGAAAGAGCTTGGCTACAAAAATGCACTTCCAACTGGTACCCCAATGCTCACTGTTAATCACAAGGCAAGGCGAGTTGAATGGGCTAGGAATCACCTAAATGATAGTTGGGAAAGGACCTTGTTTTCTGACGAAACAGCCTTCCATCTGTTTAGGAACACAATAAAACAATGGTATAGGGGTCCAAAACCTATTCGGCCACTTCCTAAAGACCAACAAAAAGTCTTTGCCTGGGGCGGGTTTGTGTTAAAGGGAAGACTAGCTTGATTTGCTTCACTGAGATTATGAATGGAGAGTTTTATGTTGAAATTTTGCACCAGCACCTTCCAGAAATCAGAAGGATGCTTGGTAGGCAGTGGAGATTCCAACAAGACAATGACCCAAAGCACACTAGTCAGGTTGCCAAAAATTTCCTTGATGAATACTTCCCTGAAGTCATCGATTGGCCAGCTAACAGCCCAGACCTTAATCCCATAGAAAACCTATGGAGCATTGTTAAATGTAATGTAGAAAAGCATATGCCAGCAAATATTAGCGAGTTGCAGCAGTATTTGGTCGAGGAATGGGAAAAAATCCCAAGTTCTATGTTGTCTAACCTTGTTTTGTCAATGAATAATCGTTGTCAGATGATAATTGATAGTAATGACAAACGAATCAATTATTAATATATATATCAATAAATTTCTTGGTTTTAGGCTTTTAAACAAGCTATTGTATGCTCAATTTAAATTAATATTTATCGAATTATTATAAATAAACAGAGGTCAATTTTTTTCATTACACACTGTATATTAAATGTTATTATTATTAAATTATATTTCATTGGTAGACAACACTATGCAAATCACACAAGAAGAAATCTCCATTTAGATGAGGTGAGGTCCAAAAATCCTCTATTTCCAGACATAAAGTTAATATACAGAAAAAATAACATGGAAATAATTGTAGTAGAACATCAAAAGAGAAGATCAACAGAAGATTGAAGGAAAGAAAAAAAAGATACTACTAAAATTTGTGTATTGATGCATGATCAACTAACAAAACTTTCCAAGGAATTAGAAAAATCTGACAAGGGAAACTTAATAAAAGAAGTTAATGTATATGGAGTAATAACTTCTAGTTAGTATAATTTATGATTAATGTAACATTTTCTATATTAATATCAAAAAAATTTTTTTTTTGCTTAAAGCAAGTGAAATTAACAAATTTATTTAAAAAAATTTAGAATTTGAAATAGATATACGGTGCAGATCATCTATAATCATTAATTGCTTATAGTAACAATTGGTCAACTTCAAAATTCTAAAACAAAAAAAAATTATAACATTTTAAAAAATTTAACCAATCAGTTTTATCGTTCATGACTCAAGCTTCAAAACCTATTGGCTGGTTTTTTCTTAAACTGAAAATTGGCAGAGCCTTAGCATTTTGAAAATTCCAAATTTTGTTATACATTTAAGA